CCCTGCCCTTGGACCAGGCCCTGCCCTCCTCTCCTGTTGCAGCCTGCTTTGGAACCACAGGAAGGAGTAAGCTTTCTTGGCTCAGCTGCAGAGATGCTTCCTCCTGGAGTCAGGAGAGGGTGACAGCCCTCATCAGCACTGTAATGAGGTTGATTAAGAGCCTGGCTGGCTGGTCAGGGTGGGCTGAGCAGGGTCTTCAGACTGGGGGAACAGGGAGACCTGAAGATCTCTAACTCATTACTGCTCCATCGATCCTGTAAAAATGGAAACTTACACAGCCCCCGTGGGGTTGCCCCTCTGCATGCCTGGGCTTCGAGATAATCTATGTAAAGCTCTTATCAGGGATCCTGGCACGTGGGTGGCATGTGATAAATGGGACATTTGTTATTATTGTTATTGTGCTGTGAGCTCTGTGTAGGGGCCTCAGAAGGCCAGCACGTTCTCTGACCTCAGCACAGGACATCTGGAGCCTTTATACTATAACGTAGAAAGGCGATACTTTATAGTGGGGACTGTCCTGTGTATTGCGGGGCATCTGCAGCAGCCTCGCTGGCTTTTTTCCTTCCCAGTCAGGACAATTCAGAATGTTCCCAGACATTGTCAAATATCCTGGGACAGGGAGGGCAAATCATTTCTTCTGTGAGTCTGGGCTAGGATGCTAGATAAAGGAGGAATTCACTCAGAACTCCAGGCTCAATGTCCCGAGTTCAAGGTAAGAATCCTCTCCAGATGGCCTGGAGTCTCAGCAGGGATGGGAGACACCTGTGGGTGGTGCCTCTTCACAGTCACACAGACTTTGGGAATTTTGGATAATTCTCCGTGTTCACAAAGTTGGGAATACCATAACCTTTCATTTCCCATTGTTGTTGTTGTTGTTATTATTATTATTATTATTATTATTATTTACCAAGTCCTACGTACTTCAAGAGTAATCTGGCTCCTTGATATCAGCTTCATCAGATCCATACTCTATCATCTGCTGAGGAAGTCCCAAATTCAAGCTCATCACTGCCACCCAGCAGCCCTCGGGGAGAAGACTTGTCATTACATTCCGCCGACAGCTCAGGGAGGGGACCACGGGGTGTGTATGGTTAGCCTATCCTTTATTTGACCTTAGGGACAACCTGGGAGCTCCCTGGCCTCAACTGCTCTCCTCTCCCATCGTTCCTCCCCGGCCCTCAGCTGGAAAGCCCAGTTAGCAGCTACAGGTGGGGCGTCCCGGGAGTCCCAAAGAACAGGAGTTGCCAAAGAATGACTTTCGCTGACAGAGTTCCTTCAGGCTGCCTTGGAGATGTCTCTTTCTCTGCAGTCACTTGCTTTCTGCTCTGGGCCCGAGAGCCTGCACATGGCTGAGGCCGGTGTCTTTGCCCCCTGCATGTCACCTTCCTTGGGACCCCACCCTTGGCTCTGGAGAGGCCCAAGGCTCAAGGACTTAGCAGGAGGCACAAGGCAGGTCTCCATTTCACGGTCTGCCTAACCACTGCGCAGCACCTGGCTGTTCTTACCCTAAATCGGACCTTCCCATGAGCACTCATCTGCAGATAGAGGCGGTGTGGGCCATTCCAGTTGCCATAGACGATGTCCACTTTGCCGTCACGGTTGAAGTCTGCCAGGGCCACTCCTCGCCCGTGCTGGTGAGGGTCATCCACACCTGGGGAGGAGAGGCAGGAGCTTCAGGGTGCTATCCCGTGCATGTTCCCTAAGCATTCACCTCCAGCAGCAAGAGAAGGTGACGCGCACACAGTCCCTGTTCTTCTGAGAAGATGGGGAGGCACAGTTGAATTCAGATGTTCTCATGTGGTAAGAAGTAGCACAGCCATCCCTTTGCACGCTGCCTGGACTCAGCTCAGGGATGGTCTGGGAGAAGGAGAGCAATGGGTGTTCTGGGGGCCAAAGCCTTTCCCACCACTATCACATGGCCACAGGGAGACATTAAATTATCTCATCCCTCTTGCCGAACTCCTCAAGGGTTCACCAGTACTTGGGGTCAAGTTCAAATTTCTGCCCAGGGATCATAGGCTCTGGCTTACTGTGCCCTTATCTCGTCTTTGTTGGGTTTTACTGTCTCCTTGACTTACTGATCCCTGGTCACCACAGTCCTTTTGTCCCTTAAGTGAACCAAGTTCTTCCTATATTCCAGATCTTTGTTTTAGCTGGTGTCTCTTCTCCAGATGCCTCCCTGGCCCCTGAAAACTTAACCCTTTAAGGAAGCCTTTCATGACCCGTGCATATAAAGTGGTCCACAAAACAAGCCATGTTCAGGAAACAAATGTTAAATGTTTATTTTTTCTTGTTTGTTTTTTTTTGAGACAGGTTTTCTGTATAGCCCTGGCTGTCCTAGAACTCACTTTGTAAACCAGGCTGGCCTCTGCCTCCTGAGTGCTGGGATTAAAGGCGTGCACCACCATCACCTGGCTCATTTTTCTTGAATATGTGGACTCCAGGTTCACACACACACACACACACACACACACACACACACACACACACACACACACGCGCCCACAAATGACACACATACACAAAACCTGACATAAAAGTTGAAAGAGACTTATGAAGGAAGAGGCCTAAAGGTGAAGAAGAGAAGGCAATAAATAGAGTATCTGTGACAGAAAGGGATGATTTGGAAAGGGAAGCAGGGGACAGTAGGATGATGGGGGGGAGGGCAGTGTGGCGGTGACTGAGAACAAAGCATAATGATACATGTATGAAGACCTCACAATAAAACTCATGTTTTCTACGCTAAACTAAAAGGATGAATAAAAAAGACAAAAAACGCAGCCCCCTAAAGCAGCCTCTCCCACCCGCCCCCCTCCTCATCTTTCTAGTCTTCCCCTTCCTGGTGCTGTCTTTGGGGGTCTCCTTGCTTGGGGTCTGGTCTCTCCACCTGCTCCGCTCTCCTGAGGTCAGCACACCCCCGTGGGTCCTGTGTGCCGCAGGTCTGCCTTGGTGTCTGCGGTTGCCTGACAGCGCTCGGTAAGTACTTGCTGAATGAATGAAGAGACATAAATAATTTGACAGCAGGCCAGCTGGGGATGTTAGTGACAGCAGAGGAAACAGAGCAACCATGACAGAGAACCCACCGCGGGCCTCCGAGAACAGGAAGGGATTCGCCATCCACGGAGGAGCCCATTCTAGGGGAGAATGGAGCAGGCACAGCCTGGAAACAGAGCATAGAGGCGGATCTGCCCACTCCTGGCCCAGGTGCAGAGCTAAGATGACACTTTGGAAGGACAAACAGGTTGCCCCGAGGACAGGGTCATAGAACAATAGACTAGAGGTAGGGGGTGGGCAGACTCCAGGGCTGCTGCAAGCAGGGTGACCCTGAGAAGGCAGGGTGGGAGCTCTGAGAACCTTGGAGGTGAGGTGTTCTCACGGAGGAGAGAGGTCAGGGGCTGAACAGTGATGGGAGACAAGGCAGAGACTCAGTTGGAGAGGGTGGGGTTGAAGGGACTGGAGACAGCCCCAAACCCTAGGGCCGGTATTCCATTAATTCTCTGCAAACTCCCTTGCCTAAGCGTCGGGTCGGTGGCCTTCTGAGCCGGCCTATTTCTCTCCTATCTGTAGGCACCTTGACAAGGAGCTGGTTCCTTTCCACGGGACTAAGGAGTGCCAGGCTGCACTTCACAGCGGCATCTGTTTGGGTGATGAATGCCCCCTTGACATGTCTTGTTAAACCCCTGCAATCGCTTTGACTTCCAATTACGGGCCTCGCACCTCGCATCTCCTCCTCCTGATCCGTTCTCCCACTCCAGCTTGTTCGCTCACCTCTGCTTCCATCTCCTTAACACCGTATCAAATGCTCTCAGTTTTCTGGGCTTCCTCCTCTGCATTCTGTGATTTCTCAGCAGCGAAACCGGCTGCTGCCAAGCACAGCCCAGGCAGGGGGTGGGCTCAGAGGGCAGGCCAGAGGACCACACCCTATTATGCCAGGGAAGGAGAGACCGGGGCAAGGATGTGGGGTGATGGGTAGCCAGCTGGGGTGTGGAGACTCCCGAGCAGGAAGGTGGGGGGCGAGATACTCTTGCATCAGAGAGAAGGGATAAGCTGATGCCTGGGGGCTTAGATGCTGCTGTCCGCAGAGCTGGTGGGACCCAAGATCTATGGGTTCAGCTCCTCAGTCACCTCTTGCC